GTGAATGGAGAATCCTCCGTGGTTAATAATTGGCCAGATGTAAGTGGATTGAAATCTGTACGAAGCGTTCCCGCTCCCGTTCAACGACGCTAGACGTCGTTGACGACAACGACGCTCGTCTGGACGCCGGTCGGTCCCCTCTGTCTGCCGCATCGACGCTGGATTGATCGCGTCCACGGGTAACGCTGGCGAGAAAGAAGCCCACCGCGTTTCCCAGCAAGCGGACACAGGCCGATTCGGCACGCTCGTAAATATTTAATGGGAACTCGCCGCGGGATTCCACGGATGGTGGGCAGAACTAACGCGCGTATATCTGTATCGCGTAATGGAAAACGTAAAAACTGCGATCTTACGCTGGTATTTTTTCAATTTCATTCGTTTTGGACTGACGAAGAAATCTCAAAGTGAGATTATCTTAACCGCGAATTTGTACAACTAAATAGAAATAATTTTTATTATTACACAATCAGTGAACTATAAGAATCGAGTTCACGTCGTCGAGATTCAGACTCGATCGCGACCAAACAAAAGCGAAAATTTGATTCTCACGTTCTCTACTGCCGTTCCTGAACTTCCCTCGACCCCTCGAGTTATTCGCGGAGAAAATTCCCTTTTCCAATCGGAGGTAGTGGATTCCGAGAAAACAAGCCTCGGGATTCACTTTTATGGAAATGCCGGGACTCACCATGCAAATATTTGGCAACCACGTCCGAGCTCCTATTAATTTTCTGCTTCCTTTCAATTTCGCCAAGATGGAACGTCAGTTTTCGATTGGAACGACCCCGTTTTTCTAGCCCCGGAACAACTGTGTTCCGTTCTAACAGCGCAAATACTTTCAGCTCGCGGTTCTTCGCCAGAGAACAGCTTTTGTTGGTCGCTGTTCTTGGAAGGAACTAAGTTGTATTCCGGATGTCATTTGTATTCTATTCGAATCGTGAAGATTCTCGAGGCGATGTATTGCCGACAATGGCTGCAATTCACACAGCCCCTAAACGGGGACATGAATAGGGAAATAGGATAATCTGGGTTTCGTAGTTTCGAGTTCTGAGAGTGAAAGCGACAGAACTTCCAAAGTTTTAATATTCATAATTTAGTATAATAACAGTCAGTAATGCCATATCATATAAAAAATGGTCTTCAATAAAAATAAATTCTCTCAACTAACTAACTAACTAACAGCACAGTTCTTATAATGTAAAAAGTAGAGGGAGATAAATATCTCAAGGTTAGTGATACTCTCTCGTTGATTATAAAAGTGACGAACACTCCGGGGGAAAAAATCTCGCCGGAAGATACTGTGTATCTCCCGAGTCTGGTGCACGGTTTTTCATGTTTGTGATAGCAGCGTGGCGGCGACGTGAATTTCTCCCTTTGCCGGATGGGGATTGGCCCCAGCGACGTTATTCGCGAGAATCCACTTACAATGGAAATTTCCCAATTTCCGCCTGTAACGCCCTTTCAAATGACAGTCAAAAGACGTCACTCAACGCTTTTCTCTCGGCGCCGTTACGCACGACCCGCTAGTATGCACGGTAATCGGAAAAAGAATGTATAATGAAGAAGAATCGAGGGCGAAAGATAAAACGCGACAAAACTGTTTACTTGTTAGACTCTATTGCAATCAACTCTAACTACAAAAAGGGAACAGATTATCTTTTTACTTCAGCTCTAATTTAGCTACATGTGTAAACGTACTGTTTGTATAAAAAACAAATTAGCTGGAGTAAACAAACAGATTTCGGATTATGTCGTATTTAATAAGTGTATCGATCTAAGAGAGAGAGAGAGAAGAAAATGTGTTGAGTATGAAAAATCGAGTGATGTGTTCAGCTAATGTAGGTCGGAGTTTGTTCAATCAGTTCCCTCTCCCTCTTCCCATTTTAAGATTAAACGAAACGAAACTAATTACTTCGGATGCGCGAGAACGACCTCGAAACTCTGTCGTGCGATTTCGTTGTCGTCGATTCGCTGTTGTAATTATAGCAAACATGCACCAAGTACCGCGTTTGGTTAATACCGCAGAAACATCAAAGAAGAATCTAATACAAGATTTATTGCACATGAATCACACAAATTCAGAATTGATGATATTCTTCTAAGCGCTAGCGTATTTCATCTTAAACGTTTGACAATCATTTGCAGTTACAGATTCATTTTTTTCCGAAAAGATCAAAGGAAGTTCGCCACAGGCGTCCTCGAATTTTCATTTCCCCCGTAAAATAGCTACAGCTGCGTATCGCTCGCAGTCTTCCCCAACGTAAAGTGATTTCTAATCGTGTTAGCCCTTCTAACCTTGACAGCGTAGCCTTACATGGTATTCATTCGCTGCTAAGCACGAAACGGGATATTCATAGTATATTCCAGGTTGAACCCCTGCAATTTTCCGGTAGCTGCAAAGGTACCTCGAAATTCGATTCCGAACTGGGCAAAATCGGGCAATCGATCGATCGCGTTTCATCAGTCTGGACGTTATCCAGCGAGAATTTCCGCTAATTCGACGATACCGTTCCGGCCGATTCATTACAAACGGGATTGTCCGGTGACATCCGGTCGGGTTGGAAATGAAATTCATGCGTGACCACGTTACGTCCGGTTTAATCTCATTAAGCGGCTGCCGACCGAGCTCCGATCATTTTTCGATTATCCTTGTTTTTCGCCGTTTTTCATTAATCTCCTTCGTTAAACGCGATCACTGCTGTTTTTACACATCTAATATTCAAAGGTGGTAAAATTTTTGTCACTAAAAACTGATTTAAAAAAAGAATAGATGAAAGTTGCGATTCGTACGTTCGACGTGATTAAAGTAAGATCAATCGAGTGTGTTAAAGGTTCGTCAGCGTAGAATGGAGACACGTGTAATCGATCAGGGGTTGATCTATGTTTAGAGAAATACAGCTGAGGAGAATGACGCATCTTACGGTTAAAAAAATTTGACAATTTTCAAGTCGGTTAAATGTATCATAAAAAATAATTTCTTTCATTTAAGGTAGCTCGATAGCATTTGCAAAACATATACGATTTTAATACAAGTTGAACTAAACAATAGTTCAAGTTTCGAACTTTCATTTTCGGTAAAGAAAATATACTGTACGGTTCCCGTGAAAATTGTTTAAAAAACTGCATTAGAAAATTGTTATTTTTAACACGGGAGCTTATGAAAACTTTTGTATAAATACCTCGTGCGATTTCATATCATATACGTTTTCATTAAAAAAAATATATGGTTATAGATTTTTTTACGGGGAATTATTTTAAAATAAGCCGATTGTAAGGCCCTCCTCCATCTTGATACGTTACCCAAATAGTGAGCTACCTTAATCTCCGGTAATAATAATTGCTTAGAACAAATTCGCAAACTCTAATTCTCAATAGTAACTGCTCCCGCGAATTGCTTCGTATTTTTACTTTTATTCTTATGATTCAATTCACAGCCAATAAACCCTCATACCCGGCCACGCTGTTTTATCGATTCGTGGTTTTTTCTGATCGTTTCGCCCGCGAGTTTGTTTTCTTTCTTTTATGGGAAAGCAGGCAGCACATCCGGCACGAAGTCGCGACTGTCACACGGAAGCGTGTCTCGCGACAGTAAAATCTCGGCGTCTTAGCAACGTCAAGGCGCTATCAAACGGCGCACCGCGTAATTCTCACTCCCCTTCATGTGCGCCTGTACGCGCGCGTACAACCTTTACTCGATGCAAAGCCGTACGCGAGGGGTCGTCTCGGTGTCTGCTGCGAGGGGCTTTTAATGGTAGTTCGTCAAATGCCTCTTGGACCTTTCAAGATACGTCTCTGTTTCTCCTCCTTTCTCTTCTTCACGTGATTCTCCCTTTTATCCGTCGGCCGCCTTTTTACGCGGTTCGTATCGCTCGAAGCAATTTACTGGACGATCTCTCGATTCAGTTCCGGAGTCAGACTACGTGAAATGTCCAATTTTACGAATTGCGATTAGAACTGTTGTCTTTTGCTAATTGTGTCCTTACTTGTAATGGAAAAAAAGTAGATCATGCTTATTTTATTAATATTTATGTTTTATTTTACGACATTTTTTCATAACAAAAAATCTCATGCAAGTAAAATAAATAGTAGGAGATTTACGGGTGATAGGAGATCTGGTCGCATCCTCCGCAAGGATGGGAGCCAAGTTAGGAATTGCTCTTTTATGACTACGCTGGCGTAATCGTAACGAGTTATGCAAGTAGTTTGTTCGTTAACTATTGGCGTAGCCTCGGCTATGTGCGAACACACGGAACGGGTGGCGAAGCGCAGTCACGACGCAGTCACGACGCAGTCACGACGCAGTCACGACGCAGTCAATTCATCGTGCCGGAAACGAATCGGGACTTTTATGGCATGTTCGAAAGTTTGAAGCCGACCAGACAGAGAGGGTGAAAAAGAACAAGACGTAACGGCAGGAGGAGGCCGGGAAGGAGAAAGTTCGAGGTGGAGTTCCGAGTGGTTGGAAATTAGCTTACTTAGACGGTAGACTGGAAATATTGGCAGATAAGAGTTAGATATAGCCTGACGATCGACCGATAAGCGAACAGCGTGGGGCTGAGCCGACGTTGCGCCCTGTTCTGCGATCCTCGATAAAAATGCGGCTTATTGTCGCGCTGCGGGTCCACATAGAGGGTGGATGGGGTGGATACTCGATGTCGGCCTCGTTGAATGGGTTTCCAAGAATTGGTCTATTCGGGTGTTTAACAAAACGGAAGAGGAGTGATAAAAGTATTGCTGCAATGGCCATTGGTTGCCGCTCAGCACATATTTTTTATAATTTTTTTCATTTCACGCAATAGTTACTTGATAATAAAAATATAATAAAAACGTAAAGAGTGAAACATCTATAAGAGAAAAATGAATCATTGTCCGACGATCAAACGTATATGGATCCGGCGGCGTCTGAATAACGCTTCCCTTTTTTGCGGATTGACACTAAAAAACGAGACGGTGTGTAGCCACGGTCGATGATTCTCAATCTCGTTTTCCGTTCTTTTTTCCAGCAAAGGAGCTGAAAATATGCGGCAGCGTGAGAAGCGGTGGCGAGGTGTGCTGCTCCGCGGACATGGAGGTGAGACTGCAGGCGAGGGCACGTGACAAACACGAGAAAGCCACCAAAGAAACTCTCGAGCGGATGCACCAGGTCCTGTCGACGAGAGGAACCAGATTTCACAGTGAGCATCTCCTACGTTTTACGATTTTAATCACTTCCCTACTGACTCTTCCGTTCCTCCGCTGCTTTCGCGTCGGGGTTGCCTGAAATTCCACTTGAAAACGTTTACAACGAAAAAAAAAAAAACGGTAAAAGATTGCTTTTCGAAGGCAGTCGGTACAAGGTTCGTTTGATCAGCTACCTTTAAAAACTTAGATCTACTAACATTTTCTCGCGAGCCAGACGTTCCTCTTGCAAACGACTACTATTCTTTAGCCCGGGAAACGTACAAGTTTGAAATATTTTTCTTGAAAAAAGGCGTTAGATGTTAAAAAATTCAATGATCATGCGATTATAATAGTTTGCTAGATGTTAAAAATGTGTGTCGTGATTTCATCAGTGAAATATAAATGCTGATGAAACGTTTGCTTGCTGGAAAAACAACTCAAAGGGAAACGGCACCCCTCTAATAAAATGTCACCCGTATCATTTGAAATCGAAATGCGTGTATCGACACGGTCGATCGTGACGGAAATTAGTCGGCGGCACGTCGAAAACCTCAGAGACGCCTAACGATTCTCATTAACGAAATTACGTTCCGGCGTGCGAGTTCTAGCTCTTCGAGCTTCAATCTTCCCTCGTGCCCTTTTCATCCGACCACGGCTTCTCCCTGGCGGTCCTTGTGCTTCCCTTTGAGGCGCCACTACACCTAGCCGCATCTAGTACCTACGTACCCACTTTGCACGCTACTCGCACGATAGGAGTGCGCCGACAGAGAACAGAAAGAAGCAGTAAAGGAGAAAGAGGTGCGCAGGAATTGCACCGGTACAGGGAAATAACAGTGAAAGGGAACAAGTCTTAGAAATCGTTAGTTTATCAACTTTTTCAGTAATCAATTCATTTCTACAGACTTCCCCACTTCTTTTACATCCTAAACGAAATAAGTAAAGTACATTATTATGAGTTTGATAGTGATTTTCATATCTATTTAATATTTTGTACATTAAGAATGTATTGACTATACGTTTATGTAATTTTTCAAAAATCCCATGAATTTATTTAAAATTTTACAGGTAGCTTTTTAATAGTAATAGGAATGTATAATAACAAATTCAAGATGCATCTTGTAAGATACGATATCGTGGTTCGTAAAAGACGAATACAATTCGGACTGTGCTTCGTTTCTTGTACATTTTACTCGAGGCATTCGAGGTGCTTGAACAATCTTTTGATTACGAAGCGTTTAGTGCTTATCCTTGCGACGTTTTAATTGAAAAAAATAGTGTTTACGTCGAATCTTTGGTAAAGTTCAGGGGACGTCGTCGCAAACGTGGAATCGTGCCGCGAATTAAAAGCCTGGACGGAGTTCCTAGCCTAGCCAGTCGTCGGAAGGCTAAGTGCTTCCTTCCCCTTTCACGCGGCGCGGAGCCTGAAGCTTTTTGCCGAGGCGTCGCCGCCGCCGTCGACGCCGCCGTCGACGCCGCCGTCGACGATTCGTTACACAGAGGCCTCGTCTACCTGCTCACTCTCCCCGTCCCCTTCCTCTCTCTTTCCTTTTCGCTCCCTCTGTCTCTTTCCTCGGTACCCAACGTCGTTAAAAGGAATTTTAATCACATTCTTCGCGACTGAAGTGACGATAAGAACGGGTTCAGGACTGTGACGGTTTTGTAAGGTTACTCGTGTCGAGGGTGGTACCTAGCTCCTTACTCCTCTGACGGTGTTCCGGTAACGGTCAACGCCATTGTTCCAAACGAAGCTCGTAGACACCACCCTTCACCCTCTTTTCAAAGATTTCGCTTTCGTTTACAACCTCTCTAATCCTTCGATTTTTAAACTAAACCCATATTTCTAATTTAAGCCGAAAATTATCATTCCGCGAGCCCACGTTTAAAAGGAGTGTTGTAAAAGTTCAAGCGAAAAGGTACGAAGGTATAAAGGTAATAAAAATAAATAGAAATGAGATTCCACCATTCCAAGAATCTCGATGAGTAAATTAACGTCAATAAATAGAAAGTTCGGGTGCAAATAATTGGTTTGCGAATTTCAAGTGAGGGATATCTTTGTTTCTCGGGCGGAAATCGGCTTTCGGTATTCCCATCGGTATAACGGGACAATTAAGACACCGCGCACTTAAAGGAATTACCTTTATTATTCAGACCTATTACAGATTCATTAGTATTCGCGCATAGTCTATACTAACACACACTAATCGCGTTTACTGTTGTTGGAAAATTATTTTCAAACCTGTTCCTCTTTCCCCTTCGTAGATTTCTTCAAAGATCTTCTCGCGACCAGCAAGAGAGGCTTTCACGAAATGTTCAAGAAGACTTATGGAATTCTGTATGAACAGAATGCGTACGTGTTTACAGACCTGTTCAAGGAGCTGGAAAATTATTATGCCAAGGGAACGGTGAGTGTTTCATAATCTTTGTTTTAGTAGAACTTGTCGATACAGTGTCACGGATAATGTAAAGTGATTCGTAACAAAATCACGTCAATTAGTTGAATTGCATGTGTATATACATTTTGCCGTATCACATCCAATTCGGAAATTCGCAATCCTCTCCGCTCTCCTCGTAAATGATCTGCAGATTTTCGTTCTAATCACTGTCACAATCCTTGGCATTCAAACTACTTTCTCACGATGTTAACGAGTCGCATCGAGACTATCGCGAGGGAGACGACTATCCAATTTCGTTTGCGACGCGCCAAATCAAATTCCACGATAAAATCGATAGGGGTCGCGGACTCGATTTTCAAAGACGGAAAAATTTATCCGTCTCCGTGTCCCCAGGCTGCCTGCCGCCTGTGTCTCCCTTACCCTCCCCCACCACCGTCGGTGGAGGGTGAAACTTTTGGAACCTCGACCCTCGTCCAGCGGACGTTTAACCGCGAGCGACGAGACTTTGTGATGGGGGAAGGAAGGAGGTAGCGGAAAGCTTCTCGTGCGAAGGCGGGTTTAATCAATGCTTCTGACGTTCAAGGATCGCCCAGCGTTTCCCGATAAAACGCCAGAAAATATCCCGGCTTCTGATTTCTCTCCCTCTCCCCTTCTCAACGAAGGACTATCGCTGTCAGAAGTTAGTTTCACTTTATCTATTCAGAACTTGTCTCCTGTATTGAAATTAATGCTCAGGGGTTGTCTCTGGTTGTGGTTTCATCCGCGGATGCGATATCCATAAATTTCGTTAAATTTATTTCTCCGACCTTCTTTTATTTCAATGTAGCCTAGCGAGTTATTTCCCAATATTTATATTCATCCCACGCATCACACAGAGATATCGGTTCGTCGTGTCGCTTCAGTATCGATTTCGCGGAAGGAAGTAAGCTTGGAACTGAAGTGGAACTGCAAAGTGAAAAATGAATATAATATAATTAGTGGTTTTGGATTATTAAGACGACGTTTTCGGAAACCGGTTGTCATTCAAACCAGACAGAATTATTCAAAAGCGCAACTTCGGGTCTGGTTCGGGTGTTTCGTGCACGCTCATGCACGCTCATGCACGCTCAAAAATGGTCTCACATGAATATATTATTGTTCCAATCGTACGCGTCGTCGCGCTGCCGAGCAACGAATTTATACGCCGATATGTATGCCTATACATATATGTACATATTGTACTATGTCGCTTTGCAGAATTGAAAGATTTGAATTTATTGGTAGACTGCTGTCTCTCTCTCTTCTATCTTTGCGCCTTTCCATTTCCCTTTTTTTCTGCTATGTTCCTCGTCGTTTCCACCCTTTTTTGCACGTTTTTCATCCTCCTCCCCACGGTTCAATAATACGTTCCGTCGAGCCGCAGGATTATTCCTCCGATTGAGACGATGCTCGAATATATCGGGGATGGATAGGAATTAAAAAGGAATATTTGTGAATGGCTCATCGACGAGTCGACCAATCTCGCCGATACTGTTCTTTGTTTCACGAGCACGACGATCGATTGGTTTTAAAACTGTGTTCAGATGCAGCTCTAGACTATATAGATTATTGCTAAAACTGTGCGTCGAGATTCAGACTTTGAGAAGTAGAATAATCTCTGCGATTGTGTTGAGAAGTTATCGTCAATACACATTAATTTTGGGGGGACACGTTTGTATTTCAGGTGGATCTTGACGATGCAATGGACAATTTTTTCAATACTCTGTATCAGAAGATGTTCACGGTGTTGAACAGCCAGTACAATTTTGACAATAAGTATTTGGAATGCGTGGGAGAGCACATGAAAGAGATGAGACCGTTCGGCGATGTTCCACAGAAATTGGGGGTGCAAATAAAGAGATCTTTCGTTGCAACGAGAGCCTTTAGCCAGGCTTTAACGGTCGCTGCGGACGTCTTGAAGAACATGCAATCGGTAAGTTCCTGAATAGGTAACAACGATATTAAAATTGCTTATACAATCTTTATGGAGAATATTGGTATAATTATAATTTCATTGAAAAAGTTAGAAAATTAGAATTAAGAGAACATGCAAATTTTAAGTCACTATAATTTTTTAAAAACCGATGAATTATCTAATAAAATTAAAACTAATCAAATTTTACAATTTTATTAGTGATAGGAATCTATAGTAAATTCAACATGCTAGCATCGTTTAATTATATAGCCTATACATCGTTAAACTACTAATATGATTGGAATTAAGTAATTGGAAAATCTTGCGGTTTTTCACAGTTGAAGCCTTCGGTGGATTGTGCCGCCGCACTCACAAGGATGACGGTTTGTCCGTCCTGCAGCGGGATCGCGGATAGCGTGCTGGCGTGCGGTGACATGTGTGCCAACGTGATGAAGGGTTGCCTAGCCCAGCATGCGGCACTGGACGCTGAATGGAATCACTTTGTCGGTAAGTAATTTCCATACGCATTGTTCCGTTGTTAATTATATAGGTCCGGGTATACCGCGTATGTCGAGCGAGTGCACGTGACGCGGCCAAGAGTATATTTTGTTTGTTAGCGATTGCGTGAGAACAGGCGAAGCCCTCAACTATAATGTAATGTAATGACAAATCGCTTGCGACGTTCCTCAAATATCGCGTTAGGAATCCTTGAAATCTCATTAAAATCGTCGGATTCTCTTATTCAGGAAATAACGTCTGTCCTTGCTTCAATTAACGTCACACTACCAAATGATATATTTTTTATTCTTATATATAGTAATATTTTAAGAAAGTAGCACGAGTACATACTCGTCTAAATCACCGCGATATGATCAATTCCAGAGGCTGTAGACAAGGTGGCCGATCGACTGCTAGGTCCGTTCAACATCGAAATGTTAGTACGACCCATAAACCTGAAAATTTCCGAGGCGATAATGAACTTTCAAGAGAACAGCCACGACGTCTCACAAAGGGTTTTCACGGGCTGCGGTCGGCCTGTATTGGGTAGACGCAGGCGTCGTCGAGACAATCGGGAGTTGGAACTCGAATCGTTGAACTTTGATCAAGAAACGTCGACGGACGATCGAGCCTCGACTGCTGCTATTTTAGATAAATTGGTGAAGGAGACGCGGCAACGGGTTCGAGATTCGAGGCAATTCTGGGTCTATTTGCCCTATAAGCTGTGCAATGACGGTCTGGTGGTGCCTCCCAGTAATACCAAGGAGTGTTGGAATGGCACGCACGTGGACGAGTGAGTATTTTAAGAGCTTGGTTCAGTTACTACTATTCCTTTTTCGTTTGGATTCATTTTCACGGGAACCCTATATATTTTCTTTACGGAAAATAAGAGTTCGAAACTTTAACTATTGTTTAGTTCAACTTGTATTAAAATTGTATATGTTTTGCAAATGCTATCAAGCTACCTTAAGAGTCTCAACTCTAATTTTATACATTTTGAATTTAATATTGTTGAAAATCCCTGCATGAAGGAACTCGTGACTATTGTTTTAGATACAAATACCCAGTCTCGTCGAATGGAGAAACTCAGACATTGAATCCGGAAGTGCGGAGCTTCGGACCAAGGCCGACAATCGTCAGGGATCAGGTATTCGCATTGACCACTATCACCAATAGGCTCAAGTCTGCGTATAACGGACAGGACGTCGATTGGATAGACACAGGTAAGTCATTCACGTCACCAATGTTTGATTTACCTTATCATCAATCTCAATCATCAGCATTCAATTAATAGCATGGAACAATCGAAACGCCTGTATGCAACTCGGCTAAAATTAGATCTTAATTAAATGTAAAGTAATTTGCAATCAATTAAAGTAATACTCTATTTCATATATCTGCGTAATAACAAAAACAGATATATTAGATTGCATGAACTATAAATTTAATCAACATGCTTATAGTAATTAAAGTGGTTGACGGATTGAAAGTTGAACAATAACTAAATTTTCATGCCTGAGTTAAATGTAAATATAAAATTATTAATCAAATCCAGGAAATTCTTTGTTTCATCATCACTATAGAATCTCGACTTTTAAGAATCATCTGATGATGACCTGTATGACCGGTTCTATTTTCAGAAGATACCGAGTGGAACGGGTCAGGAAGTGGTTCCGGAGACAGTACGGATCAGGATACGATTACAGACGACGAAGACGGATTCAAGGAAGGTTCCGGTTACGAGCCGAAACCTTCGCCTCCGGAAATACCGAAGCAATCACCGCCAGTGGTTCACCCGGAAGTTGTGCCCCCGCGAGTGGACATGGAACAGAATCCAGCCATCAGCAACAAAAATACCACGTCCAGCGTAGGCAGTGGCGCGACCAGACAAAAGATTTCGCTGTCTCGCGCGTTGACGACGTATCTCGTGCCCATAGTTGTGATGTGGTTCGGTGGTTGCCTCACCGAGTGGCTGTGATCGTGTGGTTTTCGGTGAGAATGTGCAGAGAATGATGTAAATAATTATTCCTTTTAACGATAAACGCGCTCCTCCTCGACTGGAGCAGAAGAATTGAAGAAAAAAATGCCGGCCAGTCGAGAAAGAGAGGAAGGAGGGAACTGAAAAGCGTGTTTCTCTTTTTCACGGAGCCACGGTGCATCTTGTTTTTCAATCGCATATCGTGTTCAGAGATAAGCTAATGGGATTATCGACTTGATTCTGCTGGCTCGGAGTCCGAGAGAAAGAGAAGACTGGACTCATTGGACAAAGGATCGATAGCTAGGACCGACTTCTGAGACTTTTCACGACCGACGAGCGTGCCTTCAATACGAGTGGCAAGGCCGGCACTAGGAGGATTAGGATTCAAGCTTTTTTTGAAGCTTTCTCGCGTATTCGTACGCTATTGTTGACAAATAAAGATTAAATTTTTGACACGAAAAGAACGGCGGGATTAAGGCGATGACTGGCGTGTAACAGATATTTCGTACGGTTTAATCTTCCTTTTCTTGTAATTCTTTAAGTATTAAATGATTCCTTAACTTTGTACTCGATTTGTGAAGTGTGCTCGATTCAAACACGGATGGAAAGAAATTTGTTCGATGTGACGATTTATTTTTATCTACGATCTCAGATTTGTAGGTGGCAATTATTTTCATTCGTATTCAGAACAATTTTATTAACCGACATTCAAGTTACAATCGTCCTGGCAATCGGATCTCGACAAAACAACCGATCAAGAATGGACTCCTGTGATAAAGTTTTAAAAATAAAATGAAGAAAAATATGGAGATAATTAAAAATCTAATGAAAAGAAGAAAAAAGTAAAAGATTAATATTAGTCGTCATTAGACTCCGACGATTCGTCGAGCCTAAGAACAAAATAGACGAAAGGAGACATTCTATACAAATCTAGTGAAAATATTCAAATAAATATTA